GTCGGGGCTAGGATTCCTGATATCCTGATGGATGGATGGAATCTGGGCACGGGACGGTTGGTTTGCTAGAAAGGAAAGGGCTAGTAGGGACCCTCTTATTTGGAGATGCTGCATATCTAGATTCCTGAGAAGTCAGAATTGGGTGCTGGCACCTGCGTCCCTAACTCTCACTATATTTTACTCCCGCCCAGGCCAAACCAGATCCGCTGGAACCGCGGGAATGAGTCTTTGCCGGAGCGGGCCGAGGCGGTCGGGGAGACGCTGACACTGCCCGGCCTGGTATCAGCGGATAACGGCACCTACACCTGCGAGACGTCGAACAAGCACGGCCACGCGAGGGCGCTCTATGTGCTGGTGGTCTACGGTGAGGGCAGGCTGCAGTGGGCCTGGGGGCGGGGCTCAGGGCAGGGGCGGGGCCTCTTAGGGCGGGGCCTTGGGAATGGGCGGGCTGGATTGGATGGTCCAAGGCCTGCAGGGCGTTGGAGGGCGGGGCCTGTTCGGGGGTGGAGGGGGTCAACAGCCAAGAGTTCTTATAGTTCTGGGGCAGACTGACCGCCTGGGTTCAGATTCGGTTCTGCAGCATTCTATTGCGAGTGACTTTGCGTCTTAGTTTCCTCATCCATAAAGTGGAAATAAGCACCTACCTCATAGGGTTGTTGTGAAGATTATATGAGCTAAATATATAAAGCGGGTGGAATGGCCCCTAGCACAAAATAAGTGTGATGTGTTTAGCTCTGACAATGGTGGGGCAGGAATTTTGGAAGTGGTTAGGCCCTAGCGCAGCATTTTAAAAACCTGGAGCATTTTAGACGAGATGGGAAGGGACTGGGACCTAAGGTTCCGTGGGGAAAGAAACAGTCAAAAGAAAAGGGATGCGGTGTTTCTGTTCTCTGGGGAGTGCGGTGGGAGAAGGAGGCAGGATGCGTATTAGCAAAATGACTCGGTCCGGGTGGGGCCGTGTACAAATCAACAGCATTCCTTGAGGAAGTGGAGCATCAGGGGAGAGGCGCCCTGAGAAGGGGCCACCAGGTGGCAGTAATTTTTGAGGGGCGTGGCGCGTAAAAGGGGGCGGTTAGATGGAGTGTGCGCAATGGTTTAAGAGGTTGACAGCGATGGCCGGGCTGGGACCGTCCTCTGATGACCTGTCCTGCCCCCTGTCCCTCTGGCAGACCCCGGTGCGGTGGTAGAGGCGCAGACGTCGGTGCCCTACGCCATCGTGGGCGGCATCCTGGCGCTACTGGTGTTTCTGATCATCTGTGTGCTGGTGGGCATGGTCTGGTGCTCGGTACGGCAGAAGGGTGAGTGGGTCGGGGTCTGAGGGTCTGCATTCAGCGAGGGGTGTGGTTAGTTGTGAGATTTGAACAGGGCGAGGCGTAGAGCCCGATTCGAAAGAGGGCGAGCGTAGAGCCGGGATAACAAGGAGGCGGAGCCTAGATCCTGGATTTGAAACCCAGTGGGACCTGAGACCATGATTCCCAAAGGGGCGGGTCTTTCGGCCCAGGACTGTAACAGGGGTGAAAAGTTGAATTAAGGCCATGGGTTTGAATAAAACAACTTATCTTCCTAATTGCTGGATTCGTTGGGAGCAGAGCAAGGGGATTCCACCAAGAGAACAGATAAGGGTTGACCTTTGCATGAACTTTTAGAGTCTTCCTAATTCTGCTTTTACCTCTTTCTCTGCCCCTGTTCTGCTATTCCCTGGACTTGATTCTCTCTCCCTGTATGTTCCATTTCTCCCTCTTCCTTCGTCTGGTGTGTCTTGTCTGGCTCCCTCTTCCCGTATATTTCTCTCCAACTCCTGGGTTGACATATATGTCACCACTGCCTGGGGATCTGTCACCCCTCAGGCTCCTATCTGACCCACGAGGCCAGTGGCCTGGATGAGCAGGGAGAAGCAAGAGAAGCCTTTCTCAATGGCAGCGACGGACACAAGAGGAAAGAAGAATTCTTCATCTGACCCCACCTCCACCCCAGGCCTGGGCTGGGGTCCACCCCACTGCCAGCGGCAAAGACATTTACCAGAGTCTGGGATGGTGGGCTTCTCCCCCACCACTAACACCTCAGATGCTTGGGCAGGGATGGGGGTGTCAGATGCCTGAGTCTCCACAAGGGCCAGAAGCAAGGGCCCAGAGGTCTGGGTCCCCCAGGGGGCAGGGGCCAAAGGTCCCCCCAAGTCCAGGGCGGGTGGTAGGGATTGGGTTGGGGGAAAATAACTGGGGGAAGGCCAGGGCCCCTAGGCTGCAGAACCAGGTCTTGTGGGGAGGGGGTCAGATTCTGGGAAGGGCAGGGTGGGCAGGGAAGGGGAATGCAGATTTCTTTGGGGGTCCCAGACCCCATGCCAGCCATTGTAGGAGTTCCACAGAGCTCTGGGCACCTCTTTGCAAAGCCATGTTTGCACGGTGGGGGTAAGGGTGGGGGGAGGGCATGGAAACAGGGATTCTGTGTCTTTGTGTCATAACTTGGATGGGGGCAGTGAGGGAGACAGCCCCGACCCTTTTCTCCAATCCCCCTTTCCCAGGTTCCTGGGCTCCCCTTCCCTCCAACCCCTCCCCCCACATCAGTCCCACCCATTTTTGTCTCTCTGTCCACCCACTCCTGGGGGGGCCTTCCCCGTCTCTCCTCCAGGCCCCCCGGGGAGGGGTAAGGGAGTTGGGGGGGAGTGCGTTGGTCTCTATGGTTTTATATATAATATATTAAAAAAAATCAAAAATCTGTATGAAAATATCAGATTGTGCCCCCCCCCTTCCTGGCTTTTGCCCCTTTTTCTTGTTTTAAAAAAAAAACAAAAACACATTTTGTACGGGCCGGGGAGGGGGTTTGGCAATCCCACTAACCACCATTAAACTGAGGAGAGAACAAGTGTTTGGGGTGGCTGTGTGTCTGTCCCTCTACCTAGAGCTGCACTGTGTTGGGAGGGGGACTGAACTAAGGGAGCGGGGAGGGAGAGGAGTGGGATGGTTGCTGGTGAACAGTATAGGCCAGGAGAGGGTACTTACCTCTCCAACGGCACCTCCACCCTTCTAAGAAACCTGGGGTTTTTCCTGGCCACTCCTTCAGCCAAAAGTCACCAAGTCTTGGCTCTCTGAGCTACCCTATCTCCAACCAATGGCCTGGACCCTTCCCCTGGCCTACCCCCTACCCCCAACTTCACTCTCCAAAGGAGATTTCAATTACTCACACCTCGCTCTGTCAAACAAAATCTGTCCCTGCTCTTCTCAAAACCTCTCCGTAGCTCCCTGTCACCTCTAGATCGAGTCAGAGCTCCTTAGCCTAGCATTCCAGGCTCCTCATTCATTCATCTAAATTTTAGGTGAGTGATTCTAATTTTAGATACAAAAATATATTGACCTCTTACTTTGTGCCAGGTACTGCTCAAAGGCGTGAAGATGCCATGGTGAATAAAACAGGCAAATGTTAGGTGTTTCAGACAGCTTAGCGCTAATCTGAAACTTGATCCTCTTCTAGGCACTGAGGACCCAAAATGAAAAAGGGTGACTCTATTCTTACCCTCATGAAGCTTTCATGAGGAAAACAGACTACAGCAAGGAAGCAAAATCTGAATTTCAGATTGCCATGAGTGCTATTAAGATAAGATGCAGAGTAAGGGGCTGTAGGCTACCATTTTCTTTAAACTTGTTATTATTGGAAAACTTCAAACATACAGAAGTAGACAGAACAGGAACATGAAGTCCCCTGCACCCTTCACCACAGCTTCAACAACCATCAACTCACAGCCAGTCCTGCTTTATCCACAACCCTGCTCCCTTCTGGAAAGCAAATCTGGAGGTGCTATGTTAGAAAGATCCAGAAAACCTGTCAGACTGACATCTGTGCCAAGATAGGAATGAGGAGCACAACAGCAAGTATTCAAAGATCAGAGGGAAAAGCATTTTCAGGCAAAGGGAACAGCATGGGCAAAGGCCTGAGACGGTAAAGAGACTGGGGTGTTTGAGGGGAAGTGGAGCTAGACAGGAGTGGATATAAAGAGGAGAGAGAGGTGGGTGAGGTCAGAGATAAGCAGGGCCAGACGCTGTGTACAGCCCATGGGCCATGATAGAGTTTAGATTTTTTTCTAAGTATAATGAGATCTCATTAGCAAGTTTTAAGCTGGAACATGAGTCACTTCCTAGAAGCCTGGAATGTTGCAATACCTTTCTATACTCTCAGCATGAAGTCTGAGCTCAACATCACCTGTAGAAGACTTTCCCCTCTCTGTTCCAGGCATACTAAACTGCTTTCACTTCCTCAAACCATGCATTTTTTTTTTTTTGCCTCTAGGCCTTTGCCCTTGCTGTTTCCTCTGCCAGAAAGATTCCCTCTCTAGTTGGCTTCTATTCATCCTTGGCTTAAAGATCACCACCTCTTGGAAGCCTTCCAGGCTGGGGCAGGCGCCTCCTCTGGCTCCCACAGCTTCCTATGCTCCAGTCATCCCAACTTTGACCGCTCTGGCTTGTGGTTGATTATGTGTGGATCTCCTTCCTTTGACTGGGGCGCCTCTTGTTCACTGCGGAAACCATAGTGCCCACTAGCACAAGGCCTGACACATAGGAGAGCAATAAATATTTATCCTGGCTAGCGGGGAGGGTTGTGAGGGTTGGTAAGGGTCCTAGCCCTTGTAGCCGCTCTCGGGATGCAAACTGATCCTAAGACAAGGCTCCCCGCTTCGCGCTAGTCCGCAGTCCCTGTGCGCACGCGCATTGCTCAGGCGCCCCCACCCCACATATGCTAATCACTGCGCTCCGAAGTACGGCCTCTCCGGGGAATATGCAAATCACCCCTTTCAGCGCCCGAGGCCTCCCATTGTCCCGCGCGAAGATTATGCAAATGAGAAGGCCTCAGGTCCAGGATCCAGGCAGAGCGGGCGCCCCCCACCCCCAGCGCATCCTATTTTCTACAAGGCGCGTTCCTGCTCGCTCAAGCACGCGCGAGTCTTGCAGTTTCTCGTTCCGCCGGGCTGCGGACTGTACCAAGTAAACCCGGACAGCGGGGGGCAAAGCCCGAAACCCCCTGCGCGGGCCTCGTCGAGAGCCCGACTCGGAGACCCCCCTTCCCACTGTGAGACAGGAACGGTCCATCTCTCCGCGCAAGCGCCCTAGGCTCTTCACGCCCCCCGCACTCCCTCCTACCCCACCAGCAGCGCAGGCGCAGAGCCCGGGCGTGCAGCCGCCGCCGCCGAGCCGGAGCGGGGGCCGTCGGCGCCGGTGAGTGTCCGGGATGGAGGCGCGCGGGGCATGCTGGGAAGCGGGCGCTACGGCACCGCTGCATGATGGGAGTGACGGCTCCCGCCACCGAGGAGCCGGCCGCGGTCTTGGCCCGTGATGGCCTGAGGGCGAGCCCAGGCTGCCTTTTCTCCCCCCACGCGGCTCCGTGCAGCCCTGGGCATCCTGGGAAAACAGGACTCCCCGCCCTAAAGCACTGTGGGAGTCGGTCGCTAGTCGTTATGGGCCTGGTGCATTGGGGAAGAATTATCTTAGCTCCTTGTGGGGAACCGGTCCCTTTTGTCACACCCCTTCCTCTGAGCATCCTCGAAGCTTAGAGTGCTTCGATGCAGAGCACCTTGGAGGGTGGTCATTATAGGCCCGAGGCATCCTGGGAAGAATTGCCGCAGAGCTTTGTCGGGACTGGTCTTTACTGCCCCTCATAAGGTTTTGCTTTGGCCTCCTTGCCCTCGCATTGTGGGACCGCGTGCCTATTATGTTCGCGCAGAGCTTTCTGGGAGTTGGTTGCTATGGGCTTGGGACATTGTGGGGTCTCTTGGGCGCTGTGTTTTCCTTACGGTAGTGAGGGAGTCTCGTTTATGCTCCTCTAAGATCGTGGGAGTCAGTCTGGCCGCCGTAGTCATTGTAGGAATGGGACTTGTGCGCTACTGAATGGCTCCACCTGACCTCTGGAATACTCTGGAAGGGGCCTTGGAAGGGGACTCTGGATGTGGGCTTGGGGCAGGGTAGGCTGGACTGGTGAGCCATGTCTCCTGGTAATCTCATGGGAAGTCCTGATTGCCCCTGGTGTATGGTTGCCAGTTAAAATCGAGAAAGCCCTGAATTTCAGATAGATAAATAATCTTTTAGAAATGTACGTCCCAAATGTTGCAAGGAACATATGTATATTAAATAATCCTTTGTTGTTTATCCGAAATTCAAATTTAACTGGGTGTCGTCTGATTTTATTTACTAAATCTGGCAAGCTTATCGAGGTGTGAAATAGAATTGCCAAAGTAAGTGGGGCTGAACAGGCAATAGGGTGTTATGAGAACTCTCCCCTACCAGTTATAAATCCTCTGTCCCGAAAGCCCATCCAAGTGTCTTTAGAAAGCCCCCCTGCCGTTGATGGCAGCCCTCTCATCCCCCGGCCTCCTCCAGGCTTCAATCCTAATCTTTTTCTCTTTAGTCCCCAGCATTAAACTTGACCTCCAGGCTTTGAAGGGATGGTGTACTTTCCAGCATTGTATGCCCAGTGCCGTCCGTAGTGTATAAGAGGTGCAGCTGAGGCTGCCAACCCCTTCACTGACTTGCTCTGCCTGGCTCTCTACTGTTAGGAAGTGCAGTGAGAGACAAAAGAAGTGCTCTGTGTCTGTGTCTGTGTGTGTGTATGTGTGTAGGGAGGTATTGGTGAAGAGGGAGAGGAAGGAGAGGAGTCAGAGAAGGCTTCTTGGAAGAGGCAGGGGTGGTATTTGCATTGGGAAGAAGTACAGAGGTTCTTGTGTTTGAGGTGGGCTTTGAAGGGTAAATAGGAGTTCTCCAAGCAGACAAGGGGAAAGGAGGACGCTCTAGAACGCAACAGCAGGATTTGCTAAGACCCACAGATGTGAAAAATCCTGGCATGCGCAGGGAGAAGGGAGAAGTCTGGAATGGCTGGAGTGGGATTTATAGAGGCTTGGGGATGGGAGTAACACCCACTGTTAATGGAGTGCCTGCCACATACCAGCAATTTATGCGAATGAGCCTACTGAATCTTCAAAAACTCTTTTCAGCAAAGGGATCATTTTATGAGAAGTGGGATGACATGGCTTCAAATCCCAGTTCACCCAGCTACCAGTTGGTGTGACCTTGGGCTACTTGTTAATCCTCTTTGTGCCTCAGTCTCCTTCTCTGTACTAAGGAGATAATAATCTGTCTCAACATGGTTATGAGGGGTACATGAGTTAAGCCCCAGAAGCTCTTTTTGTACTGAGAAGGAAACTGGCTAGATTTAGGATTCAAACCTAGACACGGGGCCGGCCCAGTGGCGTAGTGGTTAAGGCCGCTCTGCTTCAGCAGCCCGGGGTTTGCGGGTTTGGATTCCGGGCACAGACCTACACCACTTATCAACACCACCGCTGTGGCGGTGACCCGCATACAAAGTAGAGGAAGATTGGCACAGGTGTTAGCTCAGGGCCAGTCTTCCTCAAGCAAAAAAAGGGGAAGACTGGCAATAGATGTTAGCTCAGGGCCAATCTTCCTCACCAGAAAAAAAAAAAACGAACCAACCTAGACACTATCTCGCCAAGGTATAAATTGATACAGAACTAGAGCTGACATTCACAAACTGGTTCATCCATACCAGTTGTTCCAGTATTGAAATTCTTCTAGACTGGTTGGTATATCACCACTACACCAGGTAATCCCTACCCCCAGGTTCCACTTTGGACCCTCCCCCAGCCTCAGACTTTCCTATAGTCCAGCAACTAAAGGGTTAATTCCTGGCATGGGACCATGTTCCGCTCTCAGTTCTGACTGGTGCCCATGCTAGTACCTGCTGTTAAATATTTGGAATGTTACCCTTCCTCACCCCATCGAATAAGAACCACAGACAGTTTTGTTGCCCAGATGGGGAAATTAAGGCCTCCAGAGTGGCGAGGCCTGTAGCCAAGGCCCCGTAGGCTGTCAGGGACAGAGCTGGGGCCTTCTTTGCCTTGTCCCCAGCACTGAACATGCAGCTGGGGAGGCAGATGCTATGTAAAAATTTATTGAGTCACCACAGGCTTTTCCTTCCCCTATCCAGCATCCCTCTCTACCTGCCGACATCCTGCATTAGAGAACTTGTGGCTGTGGAGAGCTGGCCAGGGAGGGACACTGCCCAGCTGCTGCTCTGCTCCTGTCTCCTGTCCCCTCCCCTGGCCATGACAGAGACCCGTGAGCCAGCTGAGACTGGGGGCTACGCCAGCTTGGAAGAAGATGATGAGGACCTCTCTCCAGGTGAGGTGGCCTTAGAGGTGGTGGTGTTGGCTTGAACATTGTCGTGGCTTGGGATTGGGGCTCCACTAAGAAATCTTGAGGGGGAGTGGCTCTTTGTCTCAGTAGGTATTTTATTCTGATTGGGACTCTGTGCCCTGCTGGAGGATCCCTTCCGGTTGAGACTTCTGGGGGTTGTAGATTGGCTGGGCTTGCTCTCCTTGCTGGGGGTTCTAGATCGGCTGTGGTCTTTCTTGCTAGAGGTTCTAGATCGTCTGTGATGCCTCTCTTTTGTGGAGGTTCTAGATTGGCTGTAATAGCTCTCTTTTCTGGGAGTTCTAGATTGGCTGTGATCTCTTTCCTTGCTGGGGGTTCTAGATTGGCTGTGATAGCTCTCTTTTCTGGGTGTTCTAGATTGGCTGTGATCTCT